GAGGTTTAATCGCACACTCCATAACTTGCTGCGTACCCTCCCTACAACCAACTAAAGAGCATGGACCACCTATTTGCCACAAGTTGTGTTTTGTTATAACACCACACCACATCAGACTACTGGAGAAAGCCATTTCTTTTTGATGTTTGGCCAACAACCTAGGCTCCTGCTGGACTTTCTGCTTGGTCAAGTAGCAAAACCAAATGTTGGCAGTGTCCACGAGTGGGTCGCAGAGCACCAGACACGTTTGCAGCTGGCTTTTGAGGAGACCAGGGAGAGGCTGAAAAGTGCTACAGATAGGAGAAAGAAAAATAATGACCAGCATGTTCGGGACTCCCCTCTGCATGAAGGCCAACTTGTCTTGCTTTGAGACACCACCATGCACAAAAGACACAAAATCCAGGACCTGTGGAGCTCTAAGGTGTACAAGGTCCTACAAGTACTGGGTGACATTGGAGCAGTTTACACTGTGGCTCCTATAGATGAACTGACCAAAATTAAAAGGGTCCAAAGATCTCTGCTGAAGCCGGTGGTCTGCAGTGGTGTCTCTGTGTCATCCCCTACTGGTGAGTCACAGTCGCTCGACCATTCACTCTCTGAGGATGACTCTTGTTCTGATCTGTTTCTGAGGGTAGATGCCCAGCAGCCACCTCCTTTACCAGCTAACCCACAAACGATCCAAAAGAAGGCTTCTTCCCAATTTTCTGGTGTACATCCCCAGGAAGCTTCAACATCAGCATCCCAAATCCCTAGTGTTGCAGCAACCCACTCAACCCCTGTTATCACAAGCCAAGATCATGGCCCTCATAGGTTCAGTCTAGCCTCTTCTCTGCTGTGCCTTCTGGGTATAAGACCGGTCTGTCTTTTGTGTGTCCAATTTATGGCTTAAAGGTAAGGGTTAGCCTAGCCTGCTACCGCTTACATGTTACTGTAAACAAATGCTTATTATACAGTGCTCTGTTACGGCTGCATGATTCAATTTATACAGCAACTTTATTATACGATTGTGCTGTAACATACAAATTTGCAGGTAGGCAATATGAGAGTCTGTAAATTCTATTGTTAACGGTTGAGTTTAATAGTGACAATCTGCTCCATTTTTAGTTTTCAGATGAGCCTTTCTGCCTGTTGTTCAGCTGGATTCTGCTCGCTGCTGTTTTGCCTAGAGGAAAAATATAAAACTAACTCGGGCCCTTGCCCTACTGGCCGAGGCTTTGCTTTTAATGAACTGAGTGCACCATTAAATCTGTTTTAATGAAATATTGTGACGCGGCTGTTTCATTAAGGCTGTTTATTTATTTTTCTTTTTTTTTTAAATTTTGTTTCAGGGACTGAGACTTCGTGTGGTGGCGGTGGTGACCCCTGGTGGCGGTGTCTCGCTTTGTGTGTGTAACATTTCTTTTCCCTTTTGTAGTTTAGGCGATCTCTTTTTCTTCACTGGATGTGGTCCCCTTGTCTTCACAGCCCCTCCCCACTAGTAAGCCTCAGTCTCACCTGATATTTTAAAGTGTTGTTTTTAACTCCAGCCACAGATGTGTTTCTAGACAATTAAATGCAGTCAACAATTTTCTGGTATTGAATATTTTAAAATACTTTTTTAAATACTTTTCTCTTGTACCAATTACCCTCCAATAAATTTGGTAAAATTTATTTGAAACTTGTCTCCTTCCTCCAGTAGAACAAACTTACGTGTCCTTTTACTATATTTCCTGGAGTAAAATCCCAGGTGGCGTTGTTGGTTTTCACTCATTGCAAACTGACTTAAGAATTAACATTCTCTACACTCTAAATAGGGTGAACGTTCATATTTTTAAAGATAACCACACCCTCAGTGCTACATAAGCTTCATCTGTTACTGTCAATCTTTAGTTAGCTTCTGAGTTTAGCTAGCTACATAGATAAAATAAAGCTACAATATCTTAAAGTTAGCATTACAAGGATTCTAGTTTAATTCACTGCGGTACACATATTAAGCTGCAGTAACGTTAACAAACGTAAACTTACCAGCTGAAATCCCAGACACAGCTCCGTCCTCGGAGTTCTTTGATGAAGAGGAGTCCAGTCGTGGAATGTTGAATCAGGCCGTTCAACACTCACAGGCTGACTTTAATGCTGAGAGAGGAGGAGGGGAGGCTGCTGTCCTTCTCTCTCCTTGCGGAGCAACTTTCTGCTCGTAAGCAGAAAGTTGCGTGTGTTGTCCAAGCCGTTCGACAACACATGCGCTGCAAACGTGAACCCCGTCTGTGGTTGTAACCAGCACCATAGACATACAAGCTGTAGGGCAGCTCTATACAGCTCTGGGTGTCTGTGTTTTACCTTCTAGCGTGCTGAAACCATGTGACACGTTACAGCCAATACAAAACTTGACACCGAAAAAAGAGTGACATTTCAATCCATACACCGACTGACGCAGTTCGGTCAGTGCTATGAAAGAACCTCGATTCGGTATACAGCCCTACCCTTGCTACGGGCTGTTGGGTCCCTATACAAGTGGTGCAAGACTTTGGTTCGCACTGTCGTAAGTTGAACCCCTTCAGGGTGGGAGTTGGTCTCCGCCAGGGCTGCCCGTTGTCACCGATTCTGTTCATAACTTTTATGGACAGAATTTCTCGGTGCAGCCAGGGAGTGGAGGGATTCCGTTTTGGTGGCCTCAGGCTTCCCTATTTGCTCTTTGCAGATGATGTAGTCCTGTTGACATTATCGTGCCGTGATCTCCAGCTCTCACTGGAGCGGTTTGCAGACAAGTGTGAAACGGCTGGGATGAGAATCCGCACTTCCAAATTTGAGGCCATGGTCCTCAGTTGGAAAAGGGTGGATTGCTCTTTTTGGGTCAAGGATGAGGTTCTGCCTCAAGTGAAGGAGTTCAAATATCTCAGGATTTTGTTCACAAGTGAGGGAAGAGTGGAGAATGAGACTGACAGACAGATTGGTGCAGTGTCTGTAGTATTGCAGAGTCTGTGCCGGACCGTTATGGTGAAGAGAGAGGTGAGCTGTAAGGCAAAGCTCTCTGTTTACCAGTCGGTCTATGTTTCTACCCTCACCTATGGCCATGAACTTTGGGTAGTGACTGAAAGAATGAGATTGAGGATACAGGCGGTTCAGATGAGTTTCCTCTGCAGGGTAGTTGGACTCTACCTTAGAGATAGGGTGAGAAGTTCAGTCATCCAGGAGCGAGTCAGAGTACCGGGTAGAAACGCTGCTCCTCCATATTGAGAGGAACCAGTTGAGGTGGTTAGAGCACCTTGTAAGGATGCTTCCTTGGCACCTCCCTAGGAAGGTGCTTCAGGCATATCTGACTGGGAGTAGACCATGGGGAAGATCCAGGACACGCTGGAGAGACTACATCTCTTAGTTGGCCTGGGAATGCCTTGGGGACCTCCCAGAAAAGCTGGAAAAGGTGGCTGTGGAAAGAGATGTCTGGACCTCCCTGCTCAAGCTGCTGACCCTGCGACCCAACTTTGGAACAAGCGGAAGATAATGGATGGCATTATTTGTCCTCCTGCTGCCCTTGGGTCAATAAACAAAACAAAACCCGAGGCTCCAGGCACAAGTCAATTCAAGATAAACATTCAGCTATCGTTGTTTTTCACTCTTTGAGAAAATCACATATTTTCTGCATTTTTTTTCTCAAAGATTTTACACAAACTGCAGGCTTTTCCACATATAAGTATTCAGAGCCTTTACAGATTTTGATGAATGGACACTAAAACAAAATACTTACTTATTGTGGGAGGACAAGCGCCCAGGTGATGAAGACACAGGGAGTTCAGTTTTCTTCTTGGTCCTGGCTCCTTGTTCCAGCCTTTTCTTCTCTCCAGAGCTCTTACTAGGTTTCTTTTCCTCTGCTTTGCTAGAATAGTATAAAATAGGAATCATTATGTCTGCTTCTATTCAGCTGGCATTTTTTAATGATTGAGATTATTTTATGTTGAGCCAGTTTCTCCCTAAAAATCCAGCTGCAACTGCTCAGTTCTCACCAGATCTATTTATCAATCAGATAATATACATCATGTTTTTAAAAAGAATTTTCCTGGGTATCGTATCTGTAATTGGCCAGAAAGTATTTCCACACTGTGATGTATTTATTACTAAGATCTCTGTGCAATCAGGAATATTTTTCCTGACAATCATAAGCCATGCAAATACCTCTTTATAAAGTGCAATGACTGGCAGTCACAGAAAGCAGATGTGGTAAGTCCTTGGCACCATGGCCATTTTCTGCTCCTTTTTACTTGAAGAATTGTTACCATACACCATGCATGGCAGCCACATAATATTTAACAGAATGTCTTTGAGATGAATTATTACAAACCTACATCTAGCCAACAGACCAAGAATCCTCTACCTTGGACAAGGTTCATATTTCTTCTTGCTGCCTGTCCTGTTTGCTGTCTGCTGTTGTCTTGCCTTTTCATCCATATTATTTTCCTGTTTCTCTGAAAACCTCTGGGGTTGGCCTTTTTCCTCTACATCAAGCAGTTCCACATGCTGGGTCCTTTGTGTCAATAGAAGTTCTTGAACTGCAGAATCATGCTGGGAAACAACAACAAAAAAGCCAATCAAAAAAGTGAACGAAAAAAAACTTTGTTCAATTAAAATAAAAAGTCATAAAAGATAAAAAAAAAACAAAAAAAACATTGATGAGAAAAATCTATAAAACCGGTTTGTAAATTTCTCCAAATTTTTCCTGTTTAAAACATTTGTGTTACCATGTGTGCTCAAAATCCTCTACCCACTAAACATAGATTAGTCTGGTTTAATTGTTTTTGACACAATATTGTTCTTGAACAAAGTGTTGATTATTTCACTCCAAGAAAAGGCCAAATAAAAACTACAGAACATCCATCCATCCATTATCTTTACCCGCTTCGTCCATTTTGGGTCACGGGGGTCGCCGGTGCCCATGTCCAGCAATCACTGTGCGAGGGGCAGGGTACACCCTGGACGGGTCGCAAGTCCATCACAGGGCCACATAGAGACAAACGAGACAAACAACCATTCACTCTCTCACTCACACCTAGGGACAATTTTAGAGTTACCAATCAGCCTAACATGCATGTTTTTGGTCTGTGGGAGGAAACCAGAGTACCCGGAGAAAACCCACGCATGCACGGAGAGAACATGCAAACTCCACCCAGAAAGACCCCTGGACCGGGGTTTGAACCAAGGACCTGCTCGCTGAGAGGCAGCAGCTCTACCAGCTGTGCCACCGTGCTGCCCAACTACAGAACATATTAAAGAAAAATGATTTAAGACCACAAAGAGGGAAATTTGCCAAAAGTTATAATGAGAAAAGGAAAGCCAATGCTGTAGGGTTGAGGGTAGCAACTTTAAATGTAGAGACAATGACAGGCACTGGTAGAGCTGGCTAACATGATGCAGAGAAAGATGGTTGATATCTTATGTGTGCAGAAGACCAAGTGGAAGGGCAGCAAGGCTTACAGTCTTGGGGTGGTGTATAAACTATTTTACCATGACGTATATAGTGAGAGGAATGGAGTAGGAGCGGTCCTGAAGGAGGTGTTGGCAGGAAATGCAGTTGAGACAAAAAATGTCAGAAAGAGTGGTGTGAAGTAGAAGTATGTATAATGTTAAATGTTGTTGGTGGTTAAGCTCTATGAATTTTCAAAAATAATAGCCTCGTCCAAACCATCCACATGTCTGCTAGATCCCATCCCAAACATGCTGTTTAACAAGGTATTTCCCTTAATTGATGTCCACATTTTGGATCTGCTTATTTTGTCTTTAATGAATGGTTACGTACCACAGTGCTTTAAGGTTACTGTAATTAAACGTTTACTTAAGAAGCCTGATCTTGATTCAGAAATTCTGGTCAATTATAGACCTATATCTATATGCTGGTGAAGATTCTCAGTCATCCAGGACATGATGAATTCAAAAAACATTCAATACAAAAACAACTGGACTTTATTTGTAACAGAAGACGTTTCACTCCTCATCCGAGGAGCTTTCGCAATTCAAAGAGCAGAGCGTGTGGGGTTCAGGTTATAAGGCTGAGTGAGATAAGACACACATACATATGTAGATTTGACAATTCACACCTCAACATCTTAACAGTAGGGGTTTCTTAAGGTCTTTGTTACTCTAATTCACAGATGAAGCCCCTCTGTTCCCATCAGGTGTGAAAACTAGCTGGGAATCAGTCTTAAAGTTGAATTATAGGTTTTTGCAAGTGGACATCTGAGGCCTCCTCCTCTGTTAAGTGATGGTTTTTCTCTTTTTACATAAATTGCTTCCTTCACCCCCCTCTCAAAACATCTGTGTTCTCGGTCCAAAATGTGCACATTTTGGTTCTCAAAAGAGTGTCCCTTATCTGTAAGGTGGAGGTGAACAGCTGAGTCTTGTCCAGAGGAGGTGGCTCTCCTGTTTTGAGCCATGCGTCTGTGAAGAGGCTGCTTAGTTTCTCCAATGTAGAGGTCTGGACAGTCCTCACTGCAGTAGGGGTTGAACGAGTATATAATTTTTAAACTTGACATTAACATAATAAAACCCGAGTAGAACTCGAGTATTTGATGACGTCATAGATCTCAAGATTAAAAAAAAAAATAAATAAATAAAACTGCAAAAAAAGGTAATTATTTACAAAAAAAAGACCAACAAAACACTGGGAGCGTATATTATGCTCCTACCATTTATCATACTGCAAATAAGTCACAGGAAAAACTAAACTATTAGTTATTATTATTAAACTGCAAAACATGAAGAAACACGCAGCACGTCAAAAACGAAACTTAACCGAAACTGGTTCTGGTGGATTGGACCCGGTGTTACACCACACTCTGTGACCTACAACAGTGCAACACCGCCCCCTACGGTCATAGTGGTCACATAATATGACGTCACTACGGATACCCGACTTTACATTTTTAACATCGATATATGTCCTAGCAATCGATGTGTAGATTACTCGAGTACTCTGTTAATGCCCTACACTGCACTGGACCGCATACACTACACCACTCTGTTTGTGTATGGGTATTTTGTCCTTAGGGTGGACCAGTCTCTGTCCTGCTGGGTTTGAAATGCACTGGGATGTTGTGTTTGTTGAAATACCTTCTGAATTTCTCTGATACTCCAGCAGGAGTATCAGAGAAATAAGGGATGACAATGTTTTTACATCTGTTGTTCTCCTTTTTCTGTTTATTAGTGTGTTTTGTAGATTTCCTCGCTGACTTGACAAAAGTCCAGTTAGGATATCCACATTTGGAGAGCTTCTTGGATGTGTTTCGGTTCCTTTTCCTTCCCTTCTGTCTTCGTGGGAACGCGTTCGGCCTGATGCTGTAAAGTTCTGATGACAGAGAGTTTGTGTTCCAGTGGATGGTGGGAGTCAAACAGAAGATACTGGTCTGTGTGGGTTGGTTTTCTGTAAACTTCAATGTTGAGGCTGTCCTCTCTTTCCATCTGAACCAAACAGTCAAAAAAAAGGCAGCTTGTTGTCATTTGCATCCTCTCTGGTGAACTTGATTTTTTGTTGTTGTCTCTGCAAACATGTCTCTGCGTGAGTGCAGCTACAGCATACGTTCTCAGGACATTATTAACTGCAGTGTTCCCTCAGTGAGAACTGAGCTTGGCAAAAGGGCTTTCTCCTACTCCACTCCTGTTTCCTGGAATATCTTACAAAAAGACCCGAAGCTCTCAACTTTGACCTCTCTAAATGACTTTAAAAATCTGTTGGACTCCTGGCAAGGACCAATGCAGACATGTTCCTGTTTTCAGTTTTCTACATTCGCCTTATAATCTAGCAGTTTTTGTTACTTTTTTGCCATCTGTAAAGGAAGGGGTCCTCAGATCATTGAATTCTGATTAGTAAATTTATTCTGAAAGGGGTACCACTTGCTTTCCGGTTCTTAAGCAAGAAAAATATGAAATCAGACTCAAGTTTACGTGTCCTAGTGAGTTCTTTTCGTATTAAGTTCAAGTGTCATATATAATAAAAACGCTTAGAGTCAATATACAATTTTGTGAAGTTTATTATCGATTTTGGTAAATATAAGTGATCAAAATGATGAGTAAAGCTGAAGAATGAATAATGGCTTTAACTTAACAAAACAAGAAGAGGTTATGGAATTATCTTCTAAACTTTAATATGGTGAATTATGAGGTTCAAAAGCAGAGTAAATTATCATCTATAAAGTTAACTAAAAGAAGTGTTTTGGCTAGATGTTATTTGCCAATTTAGGAGAACTTAATTCTAATTAATAATGATGAATTTTGCTTAGAATGGACAGCTTTTTAATCTTGAGCACCAGACACCAGCAGAGAGAATGAGCAGCTTTTCCTACCAATTTGAAGTTCTAGTTCAACTGCCTGAGGGTTACCAGGGACTCTCTTGGGATGAGTTAAGCATCGAAGGTGGGATTCCCTCGACACTGGACATCAGTTGAAATCTGGAGTCGATAGATAAATGGCTCCAGGTGGGTCAGTTAACACTTCCGGAGGGCTGTGTTTTTTGCATGGAACTTATCTTCTGGAATAAATTTTCGATTGCTTGATCTTTCTTCTTCAAAAGCTTCCCCCAAGACTTCTCTAAACTAAACGTCAGAATAACTTTTCTCTGACTTGGAGGGCGTTAACGATATTGATGGTCGACCCAATCAAAACAGAAAGGGTGGACCTTTGTTTCAGGTTACTGTTTCATTTGAACTTTTATAACAATATTAAAAATAAATGGCTAATTTACTCTGCTTTGGTAAATACTCAATATAACAGCAGGATAATTAAGACTTCTAAGCAGTTTGACTCATCCATAAATATTTTCATTAGAACTTGTGCAAACAAACAGTTTAAACTTCTGATTACCAATTTTTTTTACATCTACTTTCTCTTATGCATGATTAAGTTGAGTACCAAGCTGAGAAAGAAGGAGACACGTTATTTCATAGCAGTTTTACAGCAAAACATTCAATTGTGTTCAGGAGAACTCAGAAAATTAAATTGTGCAGAAAAATAACTTCTACCGTGGGATGGCAATGTTGTTTCATAAATTTACTACTACCAAAGAGTCCTAGAGGAACAACAGGGTGGTTCTTTCCCACATTCTAAGACTACAGGACGAATCCTCCCTTTTAGGAAGAGATACACATAACGCTCAGATGTTATATTTCAAAGGTCAGATGGAAAAGTTCTCATACAAAGGGCTTTTCAGCTTTGCTGAAATCATAATAACAGGTGTGCAATTAATTTCAATAACAGATTTTTGTTATTCAATTTTTGTAACATGGTTTCTTACTGTCCAACTTTGGGAATGAGAGTCAGTCTTACTTTTAAAGTATCAAAAGAGTAAAAGTTGATTGTAGAAAAACCTTGATGTGTCCCTACATATCCCCAACTTTGCGATTTACAACCCGATCCATGGTTGGTGAATCGCAACAAACAGAATCCACACATCAGAAGGGTTCCAACAAGAGTTGAGATGTATTCCAAAAATCAAATACAGTAACTCCAAGGCAGGAAAGGAGAAAAGAATTAACATTATTCCATACAAAGTCAAAAGGAATAGTTCCAAGGAAGGA